GGTATTTCTAAGGGCAGCTTAGCGGGTTATTTTCTGAAGTAAACGGATTGAAGCATTTTCAAGGCATTTTCGCGATTTTCTGGTGCATTACGTTTAAGTTTAAACAAAGCCTGCAAATATTTTTGTGACCTGCCATGATCATGTCCTTGCTATTTGGTTTTGTGGGACCACCCTGCTAAACATTAATAAGATATAATACTGTGTTTTTGACGCGGAAACAGTTTGATATTTCCTTACAAGACATTCAAAATGAAAATGTTCATCTCACAGTGTCTGAAGCTAAAATATAATTTCCGGAAAACAAGTATTCAGTTTAAAAGACAATAATGAACTGAACGTCACTCAGACTAGCCTGAAGTACTTTGGAATTCGCGAGATTTATATGGGACCTATCTATGTTTCATATAGAAACTCTCCAAATAAAGATCTCTAGCTTCAAAGCTAGTGTTTGAGCTGCTATGAAGAAATGCTGAAAATTTTGCCTATAAAAGGGTTGTCCCGCTATAATATGACACCGGCATAAATCGACCAGCAACAAAGTTGTCGGATGTCGCTGTCAAGATACATTTTAAAGAAACGGACTCTTTGCAATTATATTGTTGCAGCTCTGATATAGGCTTATATAATCACTAGTGAATACGCACAAGTCCAAAACAACGCTTTTATCACAACAACCAACAAACATGTTAACAGTATTGTCTAAGTTTCTTAGTCATTTCCTGACAAAAGCTAAACAATCCAACACCGTAACTTTTCTGTTTGTTCAAATTTTTTTGTGATGAAACTGACGTGGAGCGTAGCATTTTCGGGATATCATGAATAAAGGGAGTCGGTTGGTAAAGAAACTGTGTTGCTGCGTCGCTTCGGGGTATTACAAGATAGTTTGGTTTAATCAACTGAGTTGATAATGTAGATAAGCCAACGGTAAGAGTTTCTAAAGTTGACCTTGGCCCCATGTTATAGCGAATAGACGGAAATCCAGTTGGGATAAGAACAGTTGAGGCGTTTGTGAAGGAAAATATTCAGTCGCGAAATGTCAGTGGTTTTCAGTGGTGAGTTCGATTACTTTTCAAGAGACAAAACAGCCAGAACATTACTCGATATCGATCCTGCTCGCTTTGAGAATAAATAAGCAAAAAGGCTTACTTTTATCGACTAAATGAAGAAGTTTGTTTATGCACAGGCAGCCCAAGCTCACTGCTAGAAAAGCGGACGTGACTCTTAGACAATGTTGCGCAACGTTTTATATTTATAAAGGTTTGTATGGGATGTTATCGGTTTGCCTTAAAAGAGAGAAAAAATGTCTTTTTTTGAAATAAAATGGACTTACGTTATTGCCTTGTTGTTGAACACCAAAATAGCGCTAACTCGCCGAAAACGCTTCAAAATGACCTGAGACGCTGGTAATCAACAAAGAAAACAACAAGGCAAAAACGTAAGTCCATTTTATTTCAGAAAAAGACATTTTTTCTCTCTTTTAAGGCAAACCGATAACATCTAATACAAACCCTTATAAATACAAAACGTTGCGCACCCTGTAAAAGTCACGACCGCTTTTCTAGTAGTGAGCTTGGGCTACCTGTGGTTTATTTTAAAGAATTGGGTCCTAGAGGATTGAAATAAAATCATGTGCGAAAAAGTAAAACAAAACGTTGTGAAAAATTGATGTTTCCCAGGTTCTCTTCTTCAAAAATTCTCTATTTGTGTATGTGACCCGAGTTTCTTGAGGTGAATTGTTTACCTCGAAATTACAGGAGTGCAGCAAAACCCAACTAACTCAAACTTGATTACCTCGAACCTCCCGGTAACTCCAACAAGATCTGATTTCCCGTGACCCCATCATTTTCAGTCATTTACTATCAGCTAACTTGAAGCCCCGCTTACTCGAACCATTTTTTGTTTCCCTTGGGAAGTCTACTGCACAAACGCAGTTAATTCCTTTTCGAGATAAAATTAGGGTCGGTCTCACCTTCTTACAGAATCTTAGCCACTTTTTGTCCCTTCTGATCAACAGTGGTGATGGTGTTTCCGGTGTTGAAGGACACAACAAAGTTTCTATTAATTTATTTATGTTTTTATCAAATAACTGAGATGCTCGAACGCTCTGATTCGTCAAAAACCTATCATTTATTGTATCGATACACCCAAAATGACTTAATTAGAGCAAAAGACCGCCCTTTTATCAGGTTAAGGACGTAATAACCCTTTTGTGATGTTGATTGAGCGGAAGGAAAGTTTGTAAATCGGGAACCGAAGGCGAGAGAGTTAAAAAAAAAAACATTCGTCCCAAATTCCCGCGTGGGTTATTTCTCCGGTAAAGTAATATAAAGTGCGGTTCTCTTCCTTTAGGTACAAGTTGAATAAAAGCTAGTTTTGGAAACCACATCGCCTTACTTCTTGATATTAGTATGAACATCATAAAATCTGTGTATATTGTAAAAGCGCAAGCATCAAACAAAATTGGAATTGTCTCTCAGAAGGAGTTACGCAACGATATTTTGTTTCGGTTTTCACAACGTTCTTAATTGCTTTCACTTTCAACTGAAGAGAACATCAAATATTATTTGGGTAAGAATGAAAAAAAAAAAAAAAAAACGAGATAGTGATAAACCAAGAAGGCTATCTCGTGCCCAGATCCTACCGTGTAAGTGAAATGTGTTAACGCTTGGCCGTGTGAGGGCTGGGCACGAGACAAGAGGTTTTAAAGTGCAGTTTATTATTTCTTGGTATGAGACTACCAAGAAGAAACAAAGATGCGGAATGACTGAATTGGATTACAAAGTACAAATTAAAAAAACACAAAACAAAACAAGGGGGGGCAGCTAAATTGCTCAAGATGCCTAAAACGTGATTAGTTAAATCCAAAAACCTAATTTTTTTTATCTGCACTACTACGGGACCAGTCCTTATTAAAACACCTGGGGGGGGAGGGTGTGGGAGATGTTGGTTGTGGCATGAGACAATATACCTGATCCCCCGATTATGACCCTTCAGTCCCCCCCTCCCCCACCCTCATTGGCAGTTGATTAGAAGTTTATTTTCTGCATTCTCTTATCTGTTGGTAACGACTGATCCTGATCCTCTCTTCGTTTCCTCCTGAAAACATGTGACCCTCTGGAGATCCTTCTCTATCCACCCTCCACCCCCCCCCCAGGTGACAAATAATGACCGTTCACCAAAAATTATCCATAATTATAAAGACCTTCCTTAACTGATAGATTTGACTATTCCGGGTTACATTTGGCCTCTCGAAACAACCTGTTCCCTTTAGCCTACGTGTAGCCACACCGGCTCCCCCAGACAAAGGAGAAACGGAGCGAGAAAGCGCCCTTTCTCCTTTGTCGGGGGAAGGGTGCGGCTATACGAAGGCTAGTTCCCCTTCAGAGATCTTGTAATCCCCCAAAAAATTCTCAACCCTCTTCAGTGAGGGAGAGGGGGGTAGTACGAATAATGACTGGGCCCTTAGTATACCGGAGAAACGTCTGTTTTTCGCAATTTGAACTTCATAGAAAGCTTAGCTTGTCACAATGTAGAGGCATTAGGCAGAGTAGAATAAGTCAAATGCTTTTTCCAGTTAATCCTTCTGATTCAGTAAGACAATAAACATGTAAAATCTCGTCATAATTTCAATACATTATCTGGCAAGCATGCGCAGAAGAGGAGAATCGACAGACTTGAAACCACTACAATCTTTACTTATTAGCTTTGAATACAAGGTCAGGAGGTAAGTTTCTAAAGAAATTGCGTTGCTGCGTCAATGGGGGGTATTACATGATATAAAATAGACGGTTTCAGCGGAGGTACAGATGAAATCTCCTACAGAACAGACGAAGTTTTTCTGCGTTTTTTTTTTATTTTTATTCAAGCGGTGATTAGCACAAGGCTAACGCGAAGTGCGTGTCGTGCCAAGGAGAGAAGTGCAAAAAAGGTTTTTTTTTTTCGCGAAGTCATCTACCAAACTCTCCACCAATTTATAGAAGTAATAAGCCATGAAGCTAACCGAATTTAGTTAGAAGCTAATCAATGTAGATCAGTTTGTCTCTTGGTCGAGGGTCGAAGGTCGAAGTAAAAAGTCACATAGCTACGCAAGCATAGAGGTCAGCCATTAACGGCATTGATTTTAAAAATTAAGATATCACCGAGATCGAGCCGGTTCGCTTTCTGTATTCTGGAGCTGAAAATGTGTTATGTCAATTATGTTGCACCAGTGCCGCTTAATTGATAACCAGGGACGGTAATTGATCTGAATCAACCATTACAAAATATTCCGGCGTTCGTTTAATCAAACCCTCTCATGAAATATCTTCCACACACCCTAACTTGTGGAGTACAGGGGAAGAAAAACTCAGGCTTCAAGAGTAGCGCTTAAGGTTACGCTTTCTCAGCCAGTGTTTTTTATCTCTTAACCAAAAAAAAGCGTCACGTCATCATATAGTGAACGGTACAAGCTGCCAAACATCATACAACACATTTCACCGCAGAACCACTAACTAATCAGCTGTTGTTCTTAAATTAGTCGAGCCTCAGGAACGTGCATTAAAATTAGATTTATAAAAAATCATCAACAATGGAAGAGGGGTGTGTACGGGGAATAGCGATATATAGTTCTCTTAGGGCCTGATTACATGAGCCGAGCTGGCCCGGTTAGCCGGGCTGATTTCTTTTGTTTTCACGCTTTGGCGAACACCAAAACAAAAGAAATCAGCCCGGCTCACGTAATCAGGCCCTTAGTTCATATTCTCTTTCCCATTTTTAATATAAATTTGAGTATGCGCCGAAATTCTTCAGCCTGTTTCTCAGACGGTCCAGGTCGATCGCATGCTCTCTTTCTTCCGCTGAAAGGAGAAAGTGTGTGGCCACGATCAACCTGGAACGTCCATATTTCCCAAGGGTTTTGTCTTTTTCCTCTAGAGGAAAAGCACTGGTAACTATGATTGTCCCAGAATGCATTGTCCCATTTATGATCTAATCCTTCCGCGCTTTGCATGATGGACTTTTTCAATTTTTTTTGTCAAAGTCATTCCAACATGGCGGCCGGAACGGCTGTGATGCATTTACCCAGCACGAGAAGCACCGTTAAGAAGGAAGAGCCTGCTCGTAGAGTACAGAAAATTCAGGCAGATGAGGTAAAAGAAGTTATTTTGATAACACATCGAGTCACTACCTCGTAAAAAATACGAAAAGTCGATCATGTGGTTTTACATGACGACATCTATCTTTTGATCGAAAACTGTGACTTTTTATAAACCGTTTTTGTTAAGATTCAGGCTGCATGCTACACTGGGAAACGAAATAAACTCGCTTCATTTTATTCAGTAGCTAATCTATCGACAGAGATGCGATTTCCAAGCTTGTTGATCTATAATACCGTAAAAATTTAGTCACGTTGTACATTGCAAGGTAGGCAGCTTTTTGTCTATCATTACATTGAGAAACTAAGAAAAAACTTAAAAGCTTTGGAAATTTTAAGGCTGAATAGTAGTAGAATATAACGCCTTGGATATATTTAATCATGCGATAGTGATCGTATTCATTTACAGTCACTTAAGTATATTTACAGATTTGTAATAGCGTTCTTTCGTTTCGTAGTAGTTAATAATTATTTCATGGGTTGTCGTCGATCTCACTTCTTGAAGTGTCTAATCCGATCTTTGAGTAGCATCAATTCATTGTCACCCTTAAGTAGAGTTTCTCATCAGTTTTGAGCATGATTTTGTTGGTATGTTATTCACACACACTCTCAATAAATTATGGGTAATATTTCATTAATTTATCCAGATATCATTTTATTTCAATTTGTTTTATGCTAGGAAGCTCTTTCTTTAACATTGAAAATGAGTTGATGCCACGTTGTTGAATATATTATATAAGGAGTGTTGTGTCCGTACCCAAAGAAATCACTCGTGGATTTTTTAAAAATGGCTGCCCTAAAGAAACTTTAATGTCACTTGAAATTAAAACTACAAAAACTAATATTCAAAACAGGAATGCATGCTTCATATGCCTTTTAAATCCAATCTGAGAATTACATAATTTCACTTACATAACCCTGTTTCATTAACACCTAACAAGGAGTTTCTCCCAGCAAGACTGGAATGTGGTAACAGAAAAAAAAAAAAAACAGCATAAAGGCTGAGGGCTAGTCATTTACACGAGGTCTAACCCATCCACAGCTTTATGCAATCAGTGAGCCTCAGGCTTTCTGTATTAGAAGGTTCATTTGATTAAATAAACTTCCTTCTGTTGTTAGCTTTTGGCCCTCCTGATGCTGTTCACAGAAATAAATGTTCAAATTAGAGGTTCAGCTAAATTGAGGATTGTCTAGGATGCGGTTATGTTTGACAATGGCTTAACTTTATTTAAATAATCAGACCTGATAGTGTTAAGTCAATTTTAAAAAATTTACTGTCTTGTCCATTTTTCTCAAAAATCAAATTAATAAACTTTTGTTACCCTATCAGTATGTATGCTAAGTCTATTTAAGTTTAAAAATTGTTTCCTCTGTTTGATTTATTAAGATGGAAGTAGAAGAAGAAAAACGACATGAAGGGATTCAGCAATACTATGTCACCAAGATTGAGGGTCTCCAGGTGAAGTACAGTTTTGTAAATACATTGTAGTCTACCACCCATAGTTAAGTTTGAACTTGGCTGTTAATTATAGAAAGACATTGGAAACTTGTCACGAACTTGGCTAAGTCTAGAAAAAAATCTGAGTTGCTCATGTGTATAAATATTCAAGTGTCAGTTTGTCTGATTTTTCATTCAGATGTTGTTTGCTTCTTACACTTGTTGTTCTGACTCACCTAGTTTGAATATTTTATATTTGAAGTTAGTAGTGTCAGCTACTGGATCTTTCTCTTGTGATAAAAGGTTTTTTTTTTTTTGCATGCAGATCTGTGTGACAAAAATTAGTGCAAACTTTCATGAAGCTCCAACCTTTTATATCATGGTGTGAGATGTAAAGTAGTATTGTTATGAACCCAAAGAGTGATTAGCATCTAATTTCTCCTTACAATACCACCTCTGAATCACACTTATAGGTCATGAGAATAAAGGAATTGATCACCAACTAAAGAGGTGCTTAAGTGTTAAACAAATTCTTCTTGACAGCACCACAAGGAATGTGTTGAGAGCAGAATGGGAAAGTTGCAAACTGATGTTTATGTGTAAAGGGTTAATTTTGTAGAATATAGTTCTCAATCAATCACATTCGTGGCCACTTAATACCTTACCAATGTATTCTAGATGGTTGTCACAGAAGAAATTAAAAACTTGAGGAGGCTTGAAGCCCAGAGAAATGAGCTTAATGCCAAAGGTTGGTGTGAATTTTTCTATTGATTTGACTTGTCTCCTAGTCTCTGTCAGAAAGTACAGGAATATAAATGCAATGATTAATGTTAATTAAATTAAATCAGTGAGATTCAACTAAAGTAATGTATAGATTATGACTAACTGATGATCATTGCTGATAGAAAAATTTTCTTGAATTTCCACATGATAGTGAGAATGTTGAGAGAGGAATTGCAACTCTTGCAAGAACAAGGATCTTATGTTGGTGAGGTAGTTAAACCAATGGACAAGAAGAAAGTTTTGGTGAAGGTTAGTGTCTTTGAATAAATCGTACAGATGACTGTTTGTAAATAAAAACTTACATTTGAACACAGATTTCAGGTAAACTTTTTGGGATCCTCTAAGCATTTCTTGAATTTTCAGTGGTGGTACATGTGTGTGTTCTTTTTTTTTATTTTTTTTTTATTTAATGATTTGTACCAGGTACTGGAGCAGAAACAATAGGAAATGGGTCCCCTACAAGGTTTTAAGCTCCAACAAACCCACCCATCCCACCCCAGGGGAGGACATCCAGCACACAGTAATCTTGTGCGTAGGAAATTAACGTCTCCTACCCCTAACCCTGCAGGAGAAGGGACCTCCTTTTATTCATCCCTATCTGAGAAGACTAGAATATCTAACCATTTCTTGATGTTATAGAAAGGTAGCATATTCTTCGCAATTATTTTAAGACCTTGAGTGTTGGTCCGGCCAGGGCTCGAACCCTCGACCTCCCGCACAACAGTCCAGTTGCTCATGCTTATGACTGGCAGCTGATCAGCGGCAAGTGACTTTACAGAGGAACTTGCAGGTTTTTGTGAATATGTTGAAGTTATTTACACCATCCTTTCCTTATCACAGGTTCATCCAGAGGGAAAGTTTGTGGTCGATATTGACAAATCAATTGATATGGCTGATGTAAGTGATGATGTTGCACTGTATTCTAGATGGCATCCAGAAAGACTTTTTTTTTATTTTCAGAGAACAAAACCGTATGCTTAGCTGCATTACATGTAAGCCTTTACCTGAGTTTATTTTGTAACCCTTTATTGTTGGTAAATGTGTCTTCCAATGGTGACGGGAAACCTGGTACAAAACTGGGACAGTATCTTGTGTATTTATGACCACAGCAAACCTTGTTTTTCTCGTTTTCTAGGTTACACCAAACTGTAGAGTGGCATTGCGAAATGATAGTTACATGCTTCACAAGATCCTTCCCAACAAGGTTTGTACTTTGCAAGAAAAAAGTTATAGTGAAGTTTTGATGATTTTTGTGCGCATTGCACATGGACTGGTAAGCTCTTCAAGAAGGCTTGAGTTAGTGTGTTCTACTCACATTATTTCTTTGTCAAAATAATCTCTTGTTTGATGCTTCAAAGAGGTGAACCAAATGTTTGTCATTGGTGTGGAATTTGCACTAAATTATACTTCTATGTAACGACTGGTCCTAACTTCAGCAGAGGCATGTAAGAGAACTTTGATCTCAATCTTCAACTGTTAACTCATTTCACACCTAGGTGGACCCTCTTGTCAGTTTGATGATGGTGGAGAAAGTACCTGATTCAACTTATGAAATGGTTGGAGGATTAGATAAACAGATCAAAGAAATCAAAGAGGTACACGTATGGAGTCTTCTACTCTTGTACTTGTATGTAAAAAAATATTGTTTTCTCTCCTTATGTGCATTTGACTAATAGAGTAAAGGTTGT